GACTTAAAAAGCGAGCAAAAATTCCGCTGAATTTAAATTGTTCAAAGTTAATGAGTGGCTCTAGTTAATGCAGTAAGAAGTAATTTAGTATTACCATTTGTTTTCCATCATTTTTCAAGGGTTTAAGCAGAAGCAGGGGTTGCAAACAGTAAGAAAGGCCAGAGTGACATTGACCGTTCAAGGAGTGCTAAGGTGGATGGTGGGGTACAGAATTGTTGGTGGTCACTAGAAAAGTTTTGATTGATTAATTGTGGTTTGCGTGGGTGTTGTTTTTTGATTGGTTCCATTAAATATTTTGTAAATGCTAACAAGTTATCTTTTTATTTTTTGTGGAAGATCCATTCTGTGCAGAATGTCGGAAGTGTTGGTTATATGATCTTGATAAAACAAAGTTTTTATGCGCTGTTGAAAACTATTAAAGATTATTTCTGTTGAGCAAAAATAAACAGGGCATTGGAAATTCCATAAAATTGTTTTTTAGTGCTCTCGTAAATATGCGAAGAGCTCGCTTTTTTGTTCGTTCATCACCGAGATTACTTGGTTGTTTTGGGGAATAGTGTTGCAAAGAAATTGGAGTTTTGATAGGAAAGCTGCATTGTCGGGGTTGTCTGTTTCACAACTTTGTAACTTCTTCGCCGCTCTTGTGACCGTAACTTTCTTCATTAAACAGTAGATATATTTAGAAATCGTGTATTAGAGGGGGACTCTGAAAAGGGTTTGAGTTTAGTGGAAAACTTATTTTTATTTACAGCATAGGGGAAATTTGACTGTAGATTCAGTAAAGGAGGCTTGTTTTCGCACTGTAGGGGGTGAATAATGCTTTCTTGTTTATTTTGAACCAAAAAAAAGTAGAGAGGGAAAGAAAAAAAGCATCCAGGGAGTATGCATAAATGATAGGTGTGCGTGTTTGCGTGTGTTATTTGGGCAACGAATGATACGGGCGTGCAGCCACAGTGCTATGTGTTTAGGGGGAGGTTGTGTGCATGCACGTTTAGCGCCTCCCACATCAAAAACACTTTGGACATGTTTGCATGGTTTCTTTTATAGTTACGCCGCGCCTTCTTTTTTTTTGGCCGCTTTTGTAAGTATCAATCTCATTGTTACGGCGAGGCTGCTCTCCAACTCGGGCTTCGAAGCTAGCTGGCTAGCTGCAGTTTAGGGCGTTTCTTCTACAGTCTGCCTTTTTCCTCTCTTGGAAACTTACTAAGTTACCGTATTTCTCTAAGGATTGTTGCTGTATTTGTCTGCTTCACATAGTTATTCTTTCTGGTTTTGGCCGACTATCGTATTTAGCTGCCAAAGCAAATCACCGGAGAAAAGCCGGTGATGATATAATGGTTGTTCGATTTTATTCATCATCGCCTGTGGTTATGCATGAGGTAATTTTTGTGCATTTTTTTTAACATTTAAACAACGAGGGCATAACTCCCATTTGCAGTACTTTCAAATTTTATTAGCTTTCGTAAATTTTTTGTTGCATTTTGTTTTGAATTGAGAACATTTTACTTAAGTTTTGAGCACTCTCATGTTTTATAACGTCTTGTCCAACATTATCAGAGAGTTCATTCGAAAGAAGTAATATAACATGGTTTGATAGGAATGTCTTTTTGTCTATGATCTTCCAGTTCCACTGGCAGATTAATCGCGGCTTGGTCCTAAAGTAATGACGATTGAACAGTTTGCTTTTGGAACAGCGAGCGATTAGTATTGTTTAAGCCCACTCTACTGAGTTAGATTTCTTTGTTGTGTGCTTGAGCGTCTATATATTCACGTATGTGGTGCGTCACATGCTGTTATTTTTGTTTTCTTCGATGCATTTCTGGTGCTAAGCTGTAGCTAAATGGTACTCATTACTTTCTTTATTCACAAATTATTTAACTTGGGAAATGGTTGAATACTGGGTTTTTTATTCCACTTTTCTTAGATGTCTTACCTATTGGTGAAACCAATTCCTCATCAGTCAGTTGTCTTTGTATTACGGAATTGATGTTTAGTTCTCTATAAATTCTCCGCAAGTGGTTGGTTATTTTCCTCACTCTACCTTAGAAATTTTTAATTTTTTGTTTCTACGCTGTTTTTGGGGTTCAGATGGCCAGCAATTTTCGATTTTGAAGCGGAATTTCTTTTGCACGAAAATTGCATTTTGTGGATATAATTTGAAATTGTTCTAGTTGGATTGGAATCGTTTATTCGGAGCTGGAGTAGGTTTAATGTAAACGGTGAATTACTGCTTAGTTTGGTTTCGTATTCGGGGCCGATTAGAGAGATTTCTCTGTTCGTTTTTATTTTTTTCTTTTTACCAAAAGGTACTTTTGTTGAAATAACATGTTAATAGAAATTTTTGTGGTCCTGCGTTGTCCGTTTGCCGCGTCAAACCTGCTATTTCCGCTGTTCACTGTCAACACAAAACTTATTTTATGACTCTTCTCTTTTCATCTTACTACCACTTGCCTTTCAGTTTTTTTTTGACTTTTTATGCTCTTTAATGGCAAGGATAG